ATTAATCGTTACAGGTTTGACAAGAGCAGAACGAGCAAAGTTTTGAATTTTCTTTGGCATAGTAGCAGAAAATAGTAAAGTTTGTCTTTGACCCTATAAAATACAATAAAAATAAATTCATCGATAATAATGCAATGTATTATCTTATTTAATATTTATATTGCAACATTTGTACATACTTTGAAGAATGAAAAAATCGTTCGAACGTCTTCCTCAAAGCCCATGTCAATCATTCGATCTGCCTCGTCCATACAAAGATATCTACAAACACTAAGTTTCACCATTTTTTTATCTAACATATCCATAAGTCGACCTGGTGTTGCGACCATTATGTGAACTCCCCTAAATATCAAATTTAAACAATTTAATGTTCTTGTAATTACATTCGAAAGCTTACGATTAAATTAAACTGTTAATTTATATTTTAAAGCTTTCTGAGTGGACTTTATTGTGCCGAGACGAGAACTTCAAAATTCTAATAAACATTGAGTAACAATTTGCTTTAAAATATCTTTAAGTGCAGAGTAATTAAAATTATAAAACAGTCAACCTGTTAATTACATCTAAAGATTCTGTCACAGGAATCCCACCAATTGCAAGACAACAATGTATTTGAGGACAACTAGTATGTCTTAAACTATTTGTATAATGCTGAATAATATCGTAGGTTTGTTTTGCTAATTCTCTAGACGGACATATAATTAAACCTGCAATACAAGTAAACAAAAACTACGGTTTCAATATTATAGGTAATCCAAACGATATTAATAAATTGCTAAATTTTCTGTTACCATATGGCCCCTCATTTTTACCGAAAGGTAAAGCAACCTCTTGCTCAAGGCAAAACATAATGAGTGGCAAAACAAAAACTAACGTTTTACCACTGCCAGTAAATGCAATACCTATGATATCTCTCCCGGATAATCTGGTAAAGTATTACAAACAATTAGAGTTGGTCAGTTTTTCAGGGAAAACAGTTGCAAAAATACATACACCGCGGGTATCCCTTGTATTTGTATTGGCGTTGGCTTGGTAATTCCCTTCTGTTCCAGTCCAGCTAAAATTCCTTTATGAAATTTCATTTCTTTGAAACTTCGCAATGGCGGTGGTACATCCTCTCCTTCGACCGTGATACCAAATTTCTTTCTTATCCTTTCGTGCCTTAATTCGCTCAATTGTAAAACAAGTCTTGGAGGTCGCCAACTTGTTTTAATAGGATCCGTATATTCGATACCCTTGGCTAATTCCGCAACTCCCATTAAAGCTTTATTTTCCGCGACGCTTTCTAAAATTTTTTCTTCTTCTTTCAACTGCTTTTCCATTGCGCTCTCTTTCTTTGCTATAGACAAAAAATTTCAATTATTTATCAATACTTTGACATTCAATTGATTACCTTATGCTTAAAAGCATTTCTAATTAATGTCAATAATACTTGAACTACTCAAATCTTACCTTCGGCCAATTTTTTTAATTCCGTATGTTGATCCAACAAAGAAATATTAGATTTTCTTCCCCACACTTGTCCATCTTCGTCCTCTCCGTCATCCTTTTCATTTTCACTACTGCTTTTGCCAGTTCCATGAATACTATCTTCCTTCAATTGACTCAGTCGACCTAACTTAGCAAATTGCTGCTTCTTCCTCTCCTTTACAGGAATGTACGGTACATACTCATCTTCGGATTCTGAATCTAATTTTTCCTTATCTTCTCTATAATACCTCTATCCAACATAATATAACAGAATAAAAACGATTATAATATAATTATAGACCCGACAAATTTGTATAATAAAATAATTATAATAAGATACTATTATCGGATAAAAAAGAACGCACAAATTAATGTACAATGTAACAACATACCTTTACCGGTACAGGTGACTTCTTATTCAGACTACTCATTTTTCATTATTATTTACACAAATGTTTTTTGCTAATAATAAAGCCAATATCTCCTTCGAATGAAGCTTTAAAATATTTACGAACGCGTCACTTATTTCCAATCTCCAAACAATCTCTACGTCTGCTAATCACTCGTTAGCACCGACATAATAATACGAGCATTGGATATCAATAACCTTAATTCTTAATCCAAGCCATACAGAGTTCATGCATTATAAACAAAAATATCCATCACAAATGTAATGTTAAAAAAAAAAGCGAATCGTCTCGATTACTAATCGCCTACGGGATTTTCATAATAAGCATCTAAATGACAGCGCTGGTAAAAAAAAGCCGAGCAGCGCATCGCCGCTTTTTCCGACACCAAAACGATAATTCGTCGGAGCCACGATGGTAATTAGCGACGAGCTGCTGCTGCCCCCTGCCGGACAACTGCCGCGAATCCGCTTAGCTAATGCTGCTACACTATTATTGCACACACGCACGCACGGGTTATTTGGGTGGGTGGGCGGGTGTCGCGAGATGCACTGAAAGTGGTGAAGAAAGAGAAGGAGAGCAGGAGATAAGGAAAGGAGAGACTCACGTGCCGTGCAGTGTTTTTTAGGAGACGTCACGCCGAGAGAGTGAGAGAAGATAACGATGCAGGACGAAATTGACGGAGGCGGTGTACGCGATAGAATGCAAAGTGCGCGATTAATAGAGAATCGAATGCGATTGCGGAAAACAAATTTTGCATTTCACACTTTTTAATACGATATACGCACGCTCATGGATGCAAAAAATCTCAAACAGTCGAGAACTTGGGATCAGTGTGGACAATCAAAGATTCTATCTAAAAGCTTGCAGTTTTTGACTATACGGACAATGATTCGCATATTGCCGAGTAGACTAATTCGTACGATAAATTGTAATGCGTAATATAAATAAATTCATAGCACCAAAGAATAATTGATTATTTCCGGATGGACTGATTTCATCGTAATTTACTATCTTTAAATAATTGCCGACTCAAGTAAGAAGGTACAATTAATTTTAATACTTCTTCTGCCAAGGATTTATTTTTATGAATTAACGCGATGCATAAACCGTGGGTATCAATCTTATTAGATTTTACAATTTTTATTAATAGTTCGTACAGTAATAGTTGTTATTTTAAATGAATAAAATAGATATTCATGATGTGCACAGCAGATGTGCAGAGCAGTAAATTTGCGCAGCATACAAATTATAATAATTTAATTTGTGCTTATTTCGTGTCGAATATAGTCGTAAATTATTGAAATAAATATATTTATTGTACAATCGATTCGTTTCCATTATCCATTCCCAAGATAATCGTTCGTTCTTACACGTTTATTAGCGAATGGACAAATCGTCAGTTTGACTGAACGTGCAAGCATAATACAATAAGCATTATTAATTTGTTGAAAAATCAATTTCTCTAAAATTAAATCTATAGGCAAAAGCTAATATTTCTTTTATGATTATTAAAAATAATTCGTATAACTATGTCGCATTATGGGCAACTATGGGCGCAAGTGATATATTAATGAAATGGCATTAAAAGCATTTACCACTGCAAAATGTCTTTAATAAATGTTTCGTCTCAGAACCAATGCGTACGTCCGGCGTATGTTTAGATGCGCCGTATTTCGCTGAATTGCGAAGAATTGAAGTTGCCAGATAGAATTTTACGACATATTCTGTTCAAGTTCATTGATCGTTGGCAATAATTCCCATTGTGTTTGTATTGTCAGGCATATATTGATTATAATGTAAATATGCATGAGCGCGCGCGCGTGTGTTCCCATATAAATATGCAGAGAAAACTAGTATATCTAATATGGGGTAATAGATAATTAAGTAAATATCATTCGGCCCATTATGTTCTCGAATATTTACCACAAAAGTAACGATTGATCAAAAATAGTTGAAAAAAAGGCTAAAAATTCATGCATAATTAACGCGTCGAAAATATAGGTGTACGAATTTTTAAGGTTAGGCATAATTTATAGGGTCGATTGAACAATCGATTATAAACAATATTCAAGCTCATAATTCAGTATTAAGTTTGGTTGGTTTTACAAACTTTTTAGCCAATCGCAATAATTAAAGAAGTAATTCATCCAATACAACCGCGAAAAAGTTGTGAAGTGTGCGCATAACCTCTTTCGGTTTCTTTCAAACGACGCAAATATAAATATTGATCAAACTACTAAATTCTTTTTAAAAACACTGATACACTTACGCCTTTGTGACTATACATAACTTTACTATAGAAAAAAAATGTTAAATCAAAAATAAACGATAAAAAAAAAAAAAAAAAAAAAAAAAATTTGCGTCGACGTAAATTCACAAGTATAACGCATTTAATAATATAGAACGATTTCTCATTTTGGTGAACGAAAAATGTTCAAAAACACTTTTCAAAGTGGTTTTTTGTCAGTTCTTTATAGCATAGGCAGTAAACCATTACAAATTTGGGATAAAAAGGTTAGAAATGGACATATTAAAAGAATTACAGACAATGACATCCAAAGTTTAGTTTTGGAAATTCTTGGTAGTAATGTTAGTACAACCTACATTACATGTCCAGCTGATCCTAGAAAAACTTTAGGAATTAAATTGCCATTTCTCGTTATGATAATCAAAAATTTGAAGAAGTATTTTACTTTTGAAGTACAAGTAAGTTTATCATTTAGTATTAGTACTGTTTGGCATATCAAAGTGAGCTGGTACTGTTTCTATTTTAATAATTTATATGACATAAAAATAACTTTACCAAATTTTCTATGGCATGCGTAATATTATAATTACTTTACTTTATATATATATATATATATATATATATATATATATATATATTTAACGATAGATTATCTTCAATTTAAATAAATGCGTAACTATTTTATATACCACTTATTACTTCTATTCTATTTATTTAAAAGATAAAACTCTTAAATATAAAGAGCGTTAATTTATATGTTGTTACACGTGTATACTTAACCAGAATTAACGTTAGAAATAATTAGTGTTAAATCGTATATATAGTAAAGCAAAATGCAGAATACATCGTTGCACGAATAAATTCTTTTATCATTGCTTTTAGATTATAGACGATAAGAATGTAAGAAGACGTTTTCGAGCAAGTAATTATCAGTCAACGACAAGAGTTAAACCATTTATTTGTACAATGCCAATGAGGCTCGATGACGGCTGGAACCAAATACAATTTAACTTAGCAGACTTCACTCGACGAGCTTATGGTACAAACTATGTAGAAACTCTAAGGGTACAAATTCATGCTAATTGTCGAATTCGAAGAGTTTATTTTTCAGATCGTCTATATTCTGAAGATGAATTACCAGCTGAATTTAAATTATTTTTACCTATTCAGAATAAAGCTAAATGTTGATAATACATAGACCGTTTAAAACTTTCATTATGATTAATATTTACTAGAAAATTTTAACAAACAAACAAAAAAGAATAAAAATCAACACGATAAAAGTATATTTAAGTAATTATGTGACTGAAAACTAATGACACTCAATATTAATAGAAATAAAATTTGCAAACGAAAATATCATTCTTTCTCTATTATTAGTCTTACAACGGAATATATTCATTAATCTATATACAGAAAGCTTATTCCGTAATCACATTTTCACTTCATATAATTTAATAACGTACATAGTGTAGATTTTCATAAATTTGACTTTAATATATTTTAATAATTACACAAAGAAAAATGAAAGCCTTGTATCATTTGACTTAAAAGCACTATTTAAGAAATAAATCCTTTTTGATGTTGTTAAGTGCCTTGTCTCACATACTCATAGACTCTAAATGTTAAAAGATAAGTACTTGATGCGAAGTTATTTTATCTTTACAAATCACTGTATTTTAATTCAAAAATAAAACATTTTGTATGTCACTTGTACATTATTGATTTTATAATTTACGATACAAGATCTAGAAATTAAATCTATTTGTCAATTGTGCGATCCCAAATAATACACAAAATTTAAGGATTTGTAAAAATAATCCAATATTATCATTTATTTCGTAGTTTATTAAAGTATTTTTTTTCTTTTTATACATCTTATTTCGTTTATGAAAATTTAATAGAATTTCAGGATTACCTAAAAAGTAAGTAATTATAAGTCTCATAAATTAAATAAGAGATTCTATTGTATCTTATATTTGATACACTCAAACAGTACAATTTATATAAAAATTAAATTATATCATTATTGTTAAATTTTATTAGCTTATTACAATTCAGATGTATGATGAAATATTCACCCAAACACAAATTCAATATTCAAAATAACTACGATAATAATTTTACTATCGCAATACACAAATTTTTTAGCGTAGACTTTTATACTTTTTATTTCATTATAATTACTATTAATATGTATATTTAATTTGAGATTATAAGTAATTAATTATACTGAAATTATTAATTATCAATTAAGATAGACATTATTATTTTTACTTTATTTCTTCTAAGTATTATATTAAATTCTACACAAATACAATTTTTATGTATGTATAATACCAAAGTATGTGAACATTTTGAAATTTTTAATTAATAATAGATTAAAATTAAATAATAATAGAACATATACAATTAGAATATTCAAATTTCATATTTTTACGAGTGAAAAATGACGTATAACGAATAATGCTATGTCGTTTTATTGATCCTTAAAATCAGTCTATATTTATATAATTACTAAATTATTTATTAAATGTAACGACCATTTTAATAAAAGACTGTGCATTATGTATCAATTGTAAATACAGCATAAAAGTTTATTTTAATTTTAGTTATGAAATTATTAAAAAATAATTAAAAATTAATTTTAAGAACTTTCAATTTATACACACCTAAATTTATAAAAAATTTGCAAAAGAATTTCTTTTTATTCGCTTAATTACATAAAAATAACTATGTTTTCATTCAAATATTTAATAAAATTACATTCATTTCTAAATAAATAATCAAAGATTTATTATAAAACAGATATTATAGTTATATAAAAAATTTATATATTCGTCTATATAAAAAAGATAAACTATAATATGAAATATAATAACATTGTAATCGATTATTGATTTATAATAATCTTAAAATGAAAGAATAAAAATTTCCTTTCAATATTATCGCCTTAAAAGTCTATTTTCTTATTTTTTTTATTAAAATTTTTTAATCAAATTTACTTTTCACTCTACAATATAATTAGCCGTGCAATATTCAATAAAATACAGATAATCTAAATTTAATTTTCTTCATGTTTCCTATTAATTCTAGGACTACTCCAATAACACAAGACCCTTTATAAATGTTAACTTCGAATTTATAACCTTTTTTTTTAATACAAACAATACAGTTATACTATTTTTAGTCTTAGATTCACCAAATTGAAATCATTCGCGAATGCTAGTATAAATTAAATTATTCACTTAAATTTATTCTTATAATTGTTTGTTATATTATTGTTTGCTCTTATTTATATATTTAATATTAATTTCCCTGAATAATATCTTTAATTAATAATAATAAAAATAATAAAAATAATTTTTACCATATCAAACATTTGAAAAGGACAAAAAGTAAAGCGACAAATTGACAGCACGACAGAAGCTTATAAAGATTATGCCAAATATTCAGTTTTCCTTTCGTACATTAATGAGTTCAAAGTATTGAAAAGTGTCGTCGGACTTGTCGATACAAATATTAAATAATATATAAGATCTTTCATTATTTCTTCCCATAGTCACTCAAGTGATATATCTCGTTAAAAAAAGTTATTTTAATTTTAATTTGTTTATTTCATATATATATATATATATATATATATATATATATATAGTAATTTATGTAATTTGCTCCATATTTTAAATTAAGCTGTAATTACATGTGAAATTGCTTAAATTTTATCATATGACTATATTATATAATAATATGAATAAATTAATATATAATTGTCGAAAAATTTTACGTAATACATTGAATTCCTTTTCCATTTGAAGTTATGTTGTAATTTTTCTTTTTTATAAATAAAATATTATTTTAAATACTTGAAAATCATCGTTAAGTATATGGAGATTGTAAAAAGTTGAAAAGCGACTTTAAATATTTATTTAAAACATTTCCAACATTTTAATTCATTAATTCACCCTTTAAAGTTATATGATATCTAACGTAAAAAGTTTTACGTCAGAAATTCTTTGAGATGATTTATATTTTTGAAAATTAGATTTCACTAATTTTCCAGATTTTATAGGTATATCAGTTATCGCTACCGTTAGTAAATTAGGTCGCGGTTCACACAAATTTTGCATTTAGCATCGAAAATCAATAAAAACCGTGTGGTGCAATCTCATTTATCGCGCTTATACACACTATATATATATATATATATATATATATATATATATATATATATATATAAACTGAAGTAATAAAATCATTAATTATGAAGAAACACCACGAGTAAGATATTTAATACGATTCTAAATTTTGTAAATATTTTAAGAAGTTATTTAAATATGCAAAATTTATAATATTTGAATTACGACTGGGTAGTTTTACCCTCTTTCTACGACATAATTATGAAAAATTTTATATAAACTTTGATGTTAAAAATTGTTTTAATTACTGATAATCGTTAAAGAACTGAATTTAAATATACATATGTAAACTTAATTAAATATGTGTGTGTGGAAAGGGGTGGTATATATATTTATACTACGTATTAACACATGGATTGGACAACCAGGTGGTTGTTACAGCCTCGCCAAGTATCATTATAGCTTTATCCATCAAGTGATGGAAATAGGTTTTACATAAGAGCGAGATATCAATAATCCCTTGTAGTTGTAAAAGACGGCATTGTCAGTAAGAGTTTTATTGACTTTTTTATTAGGCCGAATCCAAATCAAACATATTACGTATACAAGCATACCTCTATCCACTATTTTTTTATTCCTATATCGTACCTATATTTGTATCCCCGTAATATTAAAGTAAACAATGCTGATTAATTCCAAGTATAAATTATTTTATCAACGAACTTGCTACTTTTGTTAATGTGTATTTAAACTCTTATAAAGTATATAGCTGCTTTCGGCATAACAAAAATAATAATTTTCTGTTAGTTTTTCATTGTTCATTTAGACAAAACTTTACACGCGGAACTCATTTTGATCTTCTTAGATTCTCAGTTAAATTCTTAGCTAAATTGAAGTGTATATATTTTTCAAAATATTTATGCACTACAAATTAAGCAACTATTTCATAATCAAGCATATAAATATTTCGTAGTGAAAGTTAAATTATTGCTCTAACTGCGTTAAGCATGGCTAATTGACGAACCTATTATTAGCTTATAAGCTTTTAAGTTTGAAATATAATATTTCCTATACATATAAATGTTATGGATTTAACGTGGGTTTTTGAATAATTGTTAAATATTTTACGATGAATCGATTGATTAAAATTCTAGCAATATTTTCTATTCTAGTTCAATAGCGCACACATCTTTGAAATTAAATGTGTATGTCATTGTATTTAAATTACGTTACTACTAAACAATTAACCATTGTCTAAGTTAATATAAAATTAATTTTTTTTTTTTTTTTTTTTTTTTTTTTTGTCAGCAATCTTTTGAACTAATTAATCGACGACTCCATTTTTACGAACGAATTCAGCCTGATGCTTCATTATTTTATTACAATACAACCATACAAAGACTTGATTGACGTATTTATACGATTGATTGTTGCGATTTTACGATTGGTTGTGAAATTTTTTATCGTTTATAGCCGGCTATATAATAACAATAAAATCTGTATAATTTCGTCCGAAATAACTGCGTTTATATCTTTTAATATAGATGTACCTTCTCACTTGAGCCGATCCAAATGTTCATGCATCGATTTTATTCTGTTTTAGATTGACATGATTTTATACGAATCCAGAACGTTTTAAGCTCTACGTATATACAGAAAAATAATTACAATTTTGATTTTACTTTCGTCTCATGTCCATGCAACTGACAGCGTATATACAGAAGGAAAGAATGTAGGCGTGAAAGAGATATTATAATTATTTATAATCGAAACATACAATTAGCATACATTGTCTGATTTATACAATAACTCCGATAAATATCAGAAAATGTAAAAATGTATTATATACAACAATTGTAATATTAAATACCTAAGTGGAGTAGAATGGGTATATTTTTTTTTATAGACCTGAAAATATATAGAATATTTTATCATTTATTGTATGTTTAAATATTTCATGTGATATAATATCACATGTATTTGTCTCGTCGCAGAGGCAACTGATGTTTTTCACTAACACGTCAATTTTACAGAATTGTTCAAGTTCCAATTCTTTTAATGTTTCTATTTTATATGATAATAGTTGATCTCTTTATTAATGTTATTGTAAAAAAAAAAAAAAAAAAAAAAAAAAAAAAATTATATTTTTTACAATTCATATTTAGAATGTGAATATTAATTTTGATATTAGTCATACTTAGTAATTATTTTGATAAAATTAATGTGACTACGAATCAAATTTAACCACAAAATATACGAGAGCTCCTCGATTCACATTGATTCATCAGCCTTTAATTTTTCAGATTCTGTCGTATTTTATTTATAGCGAAAGACATTTAAACACAATTAGTTGATGCGCTCTTCAATAATAAATTAAAAATAATAAGCTTTTTAGATCATTGATAAAGTTTATTATTCTTTGTTTTTTCATGTACGAATATACGAACATAGTCACCTCTCTCTCTCTCTCTCTCTCTCTCTCTCTCTCTCTCTCACGACCTAGTAAATTCCGAAATTCGGCGTAACTCATTCGTATTTGCAATTATAATGTTAGCTTATAAGTAACATCTGAGCCCGTATTGGCAGTATTAATAAATAAAAAATATAATTTCTACCGATATCTTATATATATTTCTCCAAATATTAATCTTAATAGACATTACAAAGTTCAAGGTGTGAAAAATATTTTCCTTGCCATGTGTCATGGACAAACGATGAAAATAAAGTTGATGAATTTTTCCGAGGTTAAGTATATATACCTAATCGAATGTTTATTGCTACGTATATGAATAATCTAATTAAACCACTGTAAGGGATAAAATATTGCATTACGTAAAATATTGATTTACGTAATTAAGATGAAAAGTGTAGCCGAGAACTAGAAACCATTAAATTAACCATAATATAAGAATCGAAAATATTGTACGAGTATGGAGTGGATTATGATTTTGAGATGTAATTTTCTTTCTAGACATCTCAATATTGTTTTGAGTAATCAACTAAATTGTGAGCTTTGCATACAAATTCAAGACTAATTTCAATTAATATATAAGCAATTTCAGAATACGTTTGTAGTTTGTAAAATGAGATTATCAAACGCTTTCTTAAAATAATTCCTTTATTATCGCTATACTATGAATATAATACTATTGTGAAAAGTTTTTTTGTTTAAATTACAACGTTGTGCATTAACAGTAACATATGTATATTATCAAGTTTATTTTGACGCAAAGTTTGTTTAAACTGTAGACAAGGAAGATTACTTAGTAGTGCAACTGTTCGCCATTATGTTCAAAGTTTTTAACATATGTACTTTAATTATATACATAGGTATATTTAGTCATTAGATAGTAATGTTCTTGATTAGAAAGAAGTAAATAAGACAAATGAAAGTGCCCAGAGCTGCCTGAATCGATAAAAAAAAAAAAATAAATAATTTCATTGATTTAATATTTATCTTAAATATTATACATGAGCGTATGTTTTATATGCAACTTTTATTCCAATCGATGTACGGCAACAGACGACAAACAACAAAGAGGCTTCCGTATTATTTTGACGGATAAAAAATTTAAAATCAGTATCCAGAAATGAATCGCAATTACGATGTTTAATACACGGAGCTCGACTATAATAATCAGCCGTCAATCTGCTGTCGCTGAAATCACGCTGCCGCTACATCATGCACGTGTGCTTATTACAACACCAACCAACAAGGATGCTCAAAGCACAGGCGGGCGAGTGGTGTACATGTTTATGTGCATGTGCGCCTGGGTGTGCGTGTGCACGTGTGTGTATTAGTAGACATTAATTAGTAATTATCAAGTATTGATTTTTTAAAAGGTAGGGAGAGATGGTGAGTTGCAGTGAGAACGAGAGAGTGAGTGAGTGAGTGAGCGAGTGAGAGGGGCGAGGAGGGGAGGAGAACTGGGAGGGGGGGGGGTATGAAAGGGTTGGGGCGAGCTGGAGGAATAGGGAAGAAGGGAGCGCTCTGGCGTTATCGCCTTGCCCTTCCGCGCCGCGCTCCGATACTTCACCGCAAGAAAGAGGGGTAGTGGAAAGGATGCTGGAAGGGCGCGAGCTCGCGAATTTTCCGGGAGGGAAAAAGACGCGGCTGCTCGGTGCCCTCGACCACGCGCACCAAGGAGTAATTAACGTCGTGGAGCCGCGGACGCTCATGCACATGCTCGGCGCGCGTAAACGAGTGTGCGTGGGCGCGCCGAGGGAAATAGCTTGCGCATGCGTCCTTGGCGGCTCCGGGGCGCGAACTCGCAGTGCACCGGGAGTCTGCGGCGAATATTCAAAATGCCGCCGTTGGGCTTTCGAAGATACCAGGAATCACAGGCGGTGGGAAGGGGATTACGAGGGTCTGGCTGTAAGCAGGAGTCGTCGACTCGGTCCGCGGAATCGGTGGCGCGACGATGCCCTTCCATTTGGAAGGGCAGGAGACATCGCCTCGGCACTCGAACTTGCGACGGATGCGCAAAAGCAAGAGGGAAAAATTGTCCCAGCGAGAGAAGGAGGGATAGGGAAGCGAGAGCGGGATATACAGTAAGAGGGCCAAAAGGAGGGAGAAATATAGGGAAAAAGTGGCAGGGAGGCTCTTGTCGTCGCGCAGCGGGAGAAAGAAGCCCGGTAAAATGGCCGACCAATTAAGCGAGGGCTCGTGTATTTTATATATATTTTTGCGCGACGCTCCCCCAGGAGCAGCGTCGAAGCGCCCAAACGTCGCCCGGAGTTTCGCGCGCGTCTACCGCACACCCCCGACTTCATCGCTCCTCCTTCATTCGCTTCGTCCGTCTCGCTTCGTAACCAGCCCCAGAGTGCGCAACCACTACACGAAAAAGTCTCCCGATGAGCGGGAGCGGGAGGGCGGAAGGGAAAGCGGGAAAGGGAAAGACGCGGTTGCACGTGGAACATTGCACAGACTCGGCCGTAACCCAGAATCGCGCGGGGCTGCAGTAAAAATAACACCACAATCCATAATCGCGCGGTCCGCGTGTTGTCTGACGCGCGCCACAGCCTCACCTCCTCTTCCTTCTCCTCCTCCTACTCCTCCTCCTCCTCCTCCTCCTGCGCCACCTCATCGTCATCCTCCTCCTCGTCTTCTTCCTCGTCTTCCTCCAACTCCTTCTCCTATCGCTCTTCCCGCTC